CCCCCCCCCGCCCTCCCTTCTCTCTCGCGGTCCGAGAACACCTCCTCAAGTATTTTTTTGTCGCAATGGGTAGGTTTGCCCGCGACCACGGGAATCGACCGCGTCAAGCTTTAGACCAGGGTACGGAGAGATGAAGGGCACTGACTGGGCAGAGAGATCGGATCGGTTTTACATGTGAAAACAACAACAACGATAACAACAACAAACAACACGCCCACAAAACCACCGTCGCTCATCAGCCAGGAAGCAAAGCACCTTGCTGGGAGTAGGAGCGAGACGATGCACCCACCCGCATGCTGCAATGCAGCAGCTGCTACGGCGGTGCATGTGCGTGTATTTCTACAGAGGCAAACGTCTGTGTGTTTCCTTTTGGACCGCCTTCGCGCGATAAATACCTTTATGAGGAAATAGAACAGGGAGAAGGGACGCAGACCCTATTCCCTAACCCTAACCCTAGCCCTAACCAGCTTCCCCGACTGTATGGTATATCCAGCATGCTTTACCTAACACGAAAAACCCTGCGTGAAGGCTACTGTTCATTTTAGGCTAGCATCGACCTCCTAAACTAGCATCGACCGCGCTCACTAGCCGCCTGCCCAAGGAAAATAGAAAATACGACAGTTCATTCCACGGCACATCGTCTGCATGCTTACGAACCAACGGGAACACGTTGTATATACGTTACGGGCACGTGCTCTACCGTATACGACATGACACAAGATAATACCCACCCTGGCCCGATTTTCAGAGCTCGATTTCTCAACAGCAGAGAGAGTCACGGCGCTGAAAACGGCGGCATTAATGCCTCCTGGTCGAGAGAGAGCTCTCCGAAAGTGTATCGTTTCGAAAATGCATCGCTTCGTTTTTGCATGCTCTTGGTCGTGGAGTAATCGAGGAGCTATGAAAATGGCTCCAGGGGGGGTGTAATCTTGTGTGGTATGCGGTAAGGGGGTGGCTTTGGATCTCTGCGGGAAGCACAAACCACACAAACAGCCCATTCTAGTGTTCTAGTACAGCAGTGCACTATTACTGGCAAAAAAAAGCGGATGGAATAGTACGCCTCCAACGCAGACGTATGCCATCTGTTTCAGGTTTTTCTCGGCTGTCATAATGTACACATATTTTTCCAAGGGCGTGTTCGGGTAAGGTACTACCGAGGCGTACCGGCGGTAGAATACCTCCGGTATACCTGTACCGAGGAGGTTCGGTACGTTCGGTACGATGTCAATACCGGAACCGAGATGTTCGGTACGATGTCCATACCGGTACCGAGATGTTCGGTATGTTCGGTACGATGTCCATACCGGTACCGAGATGTTCGGTAGGTTCGGTACCATGTTCATACCGGTACCGAGCGTACCCGAACCGAGCGTACCGGCACCGGGCTAATCGGGAAGTTAGGCTGGCATTCACCCGAGACCGCGCACACACACATACACACACACACACACAGCACCAGCAGCAGCATTGTTTCCGTTTTGTTTTTGTTTGACTCGCGCGCGTACAAAAAAAAAAATAATTATATTTTGATATTTTGCTTGGTATTTTGCGATTTTNTGTTCGGTATGTTCGGTACGATGTCCATACCGGTACCGAGATGTTCGGTAGGTTCGGTACCATGTTCATACCGGTACCGAGCGTACCCGTACCGAGCGTACCGGCACCGGGCTAATCGGGAAGCTAGAAGTTAGGCTGGCATTCACCCGAGACCGCGCGCACACACACACACACACACAGCACCAGCAGCAGTGTACCCTCTTCTTCGGTACTCGGTACAGCTGGTGGCGTACCACTACCAGACGCCCTCATGAGCACCCCGCCACCCCCCCCCAGCAACGACAACGATGACCCCGCCGCTGGCGACCAAAGCTCATCATCGCCAGCGCCGGCGCCAGCACCTCCGGAGGCAGAGGTAGTCGTGGACGGTGATGGAGGCGGCAGCAGTGTGCCAGTGAAAGCGCCTGCTTCTGTCTTCATGAACGACACAGAGTACGTAGTGCCGGGGGAGACACTCAAAGCTCTCGACGACTTTGTGGTGCCGCAGGGGTATCGGAGAGAAGGGGCGCGTGAGACCTCTTTCCTGTACTCGCTCGGTGTGTACGTTGAGCCGATAGACAAGAACGACAAGGCCGCCAAATTCTTCTGCTTGGCGAGCCCGTTGTGCCGTTCGAACAAGCACATGGTGCCGTGCGCAGGCCGCGACCGCGCCAACGTCAACAAGCATCTCAAAGCAAAAAACAAGTTGACAGGGAAATCTAATTCCAGTTGCTATATTTGTATTTGCTATCTACAGGAGTATGATATGTTTGTTTTTGTCGCACTACTGCTGTCGCGCACACACACACATTCACATTCTTCATGGGCAATACCAATAGGTACTGCTGTAGAGCGATGCTCGGTACAAATACCGCCGGTATCAACGGTACGGTACCGGTACGATGCCCATACCGGTACCGAGATGTTCGGTACGTTCGGTACGATGTCCATACCGGTACCGAGATTCTCGGTACGTTCGGTACGATGTCCATACCGGTACCGAGATGCTCGGTATGTTCGGTACGATGTCCGTACCGATACCGGCGGTGCCGGTATGACACTCCGTACCGATACCGAGATGCTCNATACAGTCGACCCCGCTTTAAAGACACACCGCGTTTTTTTTTTTAGTGTCTTAAACGCGGGGAAGTGTCTTTAGGGTTCCGGGGCCACTAATTCACCGTCCCCGGGGTCAATGGAGGTGTAACATGTGTCAAAATACGCGCATTTGAAGCAGGAATGCGACCACGAAGTTGTGCTGCTTAAAAACTGCGACAACACGTCAATTGAAGGCCGCAACACTACTGCTGCTGTACTCCAATACTGTACACATTTTTGAATTTCCCTCCACCACCGAAACGCGGGAAGGAGTACAGCACGACCTATTGTAATGTGTACGGCAGTGTGCGCTGGTGTTGTTGTAGGCTTTTCTTATTGTCAAGGCGTTGTCCTCACGGTGAACATCATGCCCGTGATATCGCGAACACACCTGAGACACATCAGTTTGTTGGAACTAGCTCTGATACGATACACGCAAGTTACCTGCCACATAGGGACCAAACAAACCCAGTCGACCCCTTAGAGGGATCTGAGGGACACTAGGAAACGGTCGGTAGCGCAGACCACAACATACAAAAAATCGGGCAAACCCACCGAAAAGAGAACACCGCTCTTCCCCAAAGGTCAACACGAGGCAAAAACACAAAACAAAAAATGCCAAAATTTAACTCCACGAGAAAGGCAAAAAAATCCCAAACAATGAATGTGGGCTGCCAAGTGTGTTGTCCTCAAACACCAAAAACTACGTCGCCCACACATCCCGAAGAGTCGCCTGCACCTCACCCCCCTCCTTCGTTCTTCGCTTGACTTGAGTTTCATGAGTGAACGAATGCACAGTCTTCGAAAGAAGGTACACCGTTTCGCTGTACTCGCCGTCTCTTCCGTTCGCGTACAAATAGGAGCGGACATCCTCGAGACGAGAGCGAACCTCGGCCTCTGAAATCGTAGATGTCATGCACGACTCTTGCCTACCGTCCTGGTCTTCCTCTTCACTGGACACGTCGTCTTCGACGTGTACTCTTGACATGTTCTCCGTTACCTCTTCCATCTCGAGTTCTACCTCTTCCCTCAAGACCTCTTCATCGTCCTCTACACTAAGCCACGTGCTCACTGCGCTCCGCACTTCTTGTTCAGTGAGGCCGGAGGTGCTCTCGACGAACAAGTTGTCCGACAACACTCGCGGCATGGACCTAGCGTCCAAGTCCTTGGCACTCTCCGGCAAGGACATCTTCTTGACCACTTCCATGGGACTGCTGCTGCTGCCAGCCTGGTCTCCACCTTTGCTCTTCTGGCAATCCGAGCACTCTCTCTGCTGTCCGTAGCCTTTCTCTCCGATGCCCCGACCACAAAACGCGTGCATGGATCGCCCGCACGGGCACTGGTGAACCGCTGACACGAGTTGAGACTTTTGCTGGCACGTGGGTTCGCCACATGGCCTCAAGCCGGCAGCTGACGACCCGCCAGCAGATGGGAGGAATCTCTCCATACCCACACGCAGTAATGCGGGCTGCAGCAGACCGCAGTCGATGTTACAATGCCTTACAGATTTGCTGTCCCAGCAAATTTTTTGGGGGGGGCCGCATAGTGGAAACGCTACCCCCCTATATTATTGTACATCTGCGGGGCATCATGTTCTGGGGAAAAATGTGTATTTATAGCGGGGAGTTTCCTTAAGAAGAGTGTCTTTAAAGCGGGGACGACTGTACCGAGATGTTCGGTACGTTCGGTACCATGTTCATACCGGTACCGAGCGTACCGGTACCTTACCGAACACGCCCTTTTCAGAGATATTCGACACATGTTGTTTTGTTGTCTGCACAGGAAACTCGTATGTCAGATGCTAATCCCAAAATCTAGCGCAGACTCGGTCCGTGGTCACAAGAATGCTTATTAAGCCATCAGACGATCTGAAGAACACACACACTTATGATTTAGCAAGAATGTACACTTACAATCCCTGCAGTATACGTTTGCGTGCCCAATACTGAACACGACTTTCGACTACGCTGCACTAAATAAAGTATAGAGTACGCGAGCTGCTTCATTCAGGTCGTGTGCATACATATTTTCGGAGATATACGACACTGCGCCAGAGTGTTCAGTACGGGGCAGGAGACGCTAACGCCGCTGGCGCTCCCCCCGCCTCCGCTCCCGACCTTAACCGTGTATGACACGAGATAACACACCCCCTTGACCGATTTTCAAAGCTCGATTTCTCAACACCAGGACGTGTCACAGCGCCGAAAACGACGGCGTTGAAACCGTCTCGTCCAGAGCTTTTCGAAAATGTATCGTTTAGTTCATGCATCCTCCGCAGGGCCGCAGTGTCTCTCCATGTTGCTCCTTGAAAGGCTCCTGTGAATATTTGTTTTGTTTGTTTTCCTATTGTCTCCTCAACGCCGATGCATGCATGTCACGTGCATACACCGTCTTGTTTAGCCGACCTCTCTCTCTCTCCGAAAAAAAACAAAGTTGTCACCCCCTCCCCCTCCCCTCTGCCCTCTCATGTCGCGTCCCCCCCTGTGCACTTGATTGGCCACAACACCTACCGTTTCGTGCGGCACTTGGCACGAGCAGGAGTAGTAGCCATGCCTGTCCCACGTACGACGGCGACGCCCGCCACCGCTGCCCGAGCGGGAGCAGAGCAAAGAAGAACGAAGGCGATTATCACCGATGCAAGGAAGCCCGCGGCACCAGCATCAGTACCATTAGCGGCGGCAGCGACGACGGCGGCGGTACCAGCAGGACGAGAAGGGCCGGAGAAGAGGAGTAGTGGGAAGGGATCATGCCGCGGCAAGCGGCATCCGGCGAGCAGTACGGCGGCGCCAGCGGCGCGGCTGCTGTTGTTTGTCGCGGCCGCCGCCGTAGTCTGGTCGTGCTGCGGCGTTGGCGTGGCGGAGGCGTTCGTGGCACCTGGGGCCGCGGCGGCGGCGGCTGGTGGTGGTGGTGCTGCTGCTGCTGCTGTGGCGGGTTCTGTCGCCGGACGAAGGTGTGTGGATGTGTTCCGGTTGTATGTATGTATGTATGTATGTATGTATGTATGTATGTATGTATGGCTTCTTTTTTCCGTGAGGCTTGTTGGGAAATCTACGGACGATCAGCTTGAGAGGAAGACTACCGTTCGAGGTTTAACCACTAGTCGTTGCCGTGCGAAGGCGTGCGCATGGTGCTGTACTGCTGCATGTATGTATGGCTTCCTTTCTCCGCCAGACTTGTTGGGAAATCTGTAGACGATAATTAAGAGACGACCCGTTCAAGATATAACCACAGGCTTGCTGTTGCCACGAGGAAGTCGCGTTTGTTTGTTGCCTATCTACCTATCGCCTATCTCTCTAGTAGGATAAGGAGGGACGATGTTTTCGCGACAGCATCAGCCCAACACCATGGAACATGTAGCTCGCAGGGAGTTGAGATAGTCCGGCGCTTGTCCTCCCGCTTCACGCCGAAAAACGCTTCTTCTCCTCTTACTTTTGGTTGCTCATGCCTTCAGAAGATGTGTCTATAATGCCCTGAGCAAAGAGGGTCACGGCGACCTCCACCTGCTTTTTAGCCTATGTTGCCTTGCTGCTGCTGTTTCTTGGAGAAGCTTTGGCCGTGTCGTCACTGCCGTTGTAGGTTGCATGACGTAAGATATCACACCCCCTGACTGCTGTTCCAGCGCCGACATTTTGGCATGGCCGTTCTTCGTGCTAGGAGCCATTCATTGAGCCATGTAATCTGGTGTCAACTACATTCGTGTTGATACATACCCCTTGTGGACTCGTTTTGACAGCAGCCTCGCGTTGGTACATGAAAAACGGTGATGGACGTGTTGTACGCTCATATTCGTAGATGTTGTTTTTGCTGTTGCTGATGGTCGTTGCTGTGGCTGTGGCGATTGCTGCTGCTGCTGCTGCTGCTGCTGCTGCTGATATTGCTGCTTCTGTTGCTGTTTTAGTCGCTGTCGTTGTTGCTGTTAGGGTTGATCCTTGGCGACTGCATTGTCGGCTTTATTCTGACCTCTATCTACACAGCATCACACAAATGCGAAGGAGATGAAACGAATTCCCGGGGTCACAATCTGCAAGTAGCCCAAGGAAACGACCGCGGGCGGCGTGGCTATATATAGGCTCTAGTGTGACATTGGCAGGGTCGTGGTGGCACCTCTAATAGCCACCGGAGACGAACGTTGTCCCTACCGCTAGGCCTCGGTCTGGTTGCCTTTCTGTCTCTCTGTCTGCCTGCCTCCCTTCCTGCTTTCGGCCCCTGACATCCCCGCCTAACCCTCCCCCTTCCCCCCCGCGCGCTCCCCAACCCGATCCCTCCTTGTCTCTATGTAGGCCTCTGGGGCTGCTGACATCGCCTTTTCCCACCACTTTCGTTAGGCCGGGGAGGGGATGCGGGGCTTTCCTACCCGCCGCAGCAGCCAAGACGCCGCTCATACGGCCACAGCGGCAGCAGTACGCACGGCAACAAGCGGTTTTCGGGACGGGGAGGCGTGTTGGTAGCGAGCGGGGGCACGGGACGACAGCAGCAGGAGTCTTCTCGAAGGAGAAGAAGAGCGCTTCGGCAGCGTTGTCGATGGTGGCGGCGGGGGCGGGGGCGGGGAGGGGGTCTGCGGTTGCGGGAGGGGGGGGTGGCGGTGCCGGCGGTGGCCGCGGGGCCGCGGGCGCGATTAAGGCGGGCGTGCTCGCCGTGGGGTCGGTTCTGGTGTCGGTTCAGCCGGCCATCCTTGTCCTCGCAACAAAGGTAAAGACTGACTGCGGAAAACAGACGTGGGTCCCGCTTTAGCAGTCCGTATTGTCGCAAAATGTTACAATGAAATGCTATGACCGCTATTCAGGGCATCCCCCTACACGGGAAACCGTTACAAACCGGAAGCACGACTGTAGCCTTATTTTGAGCTTTTTTTTTTTCGTTTTGGTTCGTTGAGGGAGGGTTTTCTTTTTTGGCTGCTGTTGAAATCAAAAACACGTCAGCCAGTTTCTGTGGGCTGTTCGAGTTTGGGAAACGTCACACCGCAGTAGCTAGAAGCAAGCTTTGGGTTGGTCCTGCTGCTCCCCTGATTTTTGTTCATGTTGCGTCACACCCTCTTGATGGCCCTGCTGTGCTCTCTCATGAGGCCATGCATTAGGAGGGTCGTGCAACCATTGTTGTTGTTGTTGTTGTTGTTGTTGTGTCTTCACATTGAAGAGCCGGTCTCTTCTCAACTACCTTCTGATGTCCGTGAAAATGGTCCACCTAGCGGCGACTGTTTTGGCTTATGCTGCTACTGAAGCCGACATATTGTTCGAAATTGTGCAGTACCTACCAAGCCTATGTATGCATGTGCGTCGCTTTGCTTTTTCAATCCCCCGGGCTGCCTGACGCCGCTCACGTTGCGGTTGCGTCAAAGACACGAACGACAAGAGAACGGAGGCGGTGGTTAAGTAATGAAGCTAACAAGCTCGCTCGTTTTATTTTTATCGCGATGTGTGTTGTATGCACACGAAGAACCTTTCTTCTGCCTCTCTTGGTTGTACACCGGCAGGCGGTGCTGAAGCTAGCAAGCTCGCCTGCGTTTTTTATCGCGATGTGTATGCGTACGAAGCAGTACCTTTTTCTGCCTTTTGTTGGTTGCACACCCGCAGGCGGTGATGAAGCTCGTGGCCTCCTGCGGAATAGGGTACTACTTCAGCAAGAAGGGGATCCTCGATCAGGTACTTTGTTTTTTTTTTCCATCACTTCAAAGTCAGCGCTCACACGCGCCACCTCCGCCGATTAGTAGCTATAAATAGCTCCAATCCGTGGTCACACCGACATGTGCACAACGCTCTCGAAACATAATCATGCTCCTGCAGTACATGAAGAATAGAAGACTGGAAGTGTTTCATGATGTGCGTGTGTGTTTCTTATTAACATCGAGCGCGCTAGCCGGCTGACCGATGAACAGGCGCCAGTCTCAGTGCGGTTGAAAACACAAGACACTCCTAAATGCCATGAGCTGGGGCCCCGCGAGGGGGCGGCATGGGGGAGTCTAGCCTACTGTCCGGACCAAAGACCGAAACGGTAGCAACGGACGGTGTGTGTGTGTACCGAAGGTATCCCGACACGGTGCCGGCTACACCTATGGGCCCACTCCCATTCTCAAACCTATATATTTACCCCTGTTCTTAACAGTGCCGGTGTACGGTGTACGGTAGAAGAGTTATTTCCAAGAACTTAACACGACAATAAGTGAGGTTGGTGGCGCTACCAACTGTACACCGCTCCGCGGCTTCTCTTTGAATCTTCAAGGGGGAAATATAGTAGTTCGATCATTAAAGCGCACTGATGGACCTCTCCTCAACGTTGTAGCCGGTCAACCCTCTGGATACATACACCCCCGCAGGAGGGGGTCCAGCCCTCCCCCTCCTATGTGACCCCGGTTGGGTCGTCTAGCTAGTAGAAGTGGAGGATAGGGGCCAGAGGGGCAGACGACAGAGTCCAATGATGGGAGAAAAAAAAAAAAAAAGGCACTGCCTCGGGACACCTGCTGTATCTTGTCGTTGTCGATCCGAAGTAACAAGATGAGGCCGTGATGGCACTCAGCACTTGTGCCGATTTCTCAACTTGCAGAACGCGTCACAGCGCCGAAGACGGCGGCTTTGAAGCCGTCCGGTCGAGAAAGATCTTTCGGCGAAAATGTATCGTTTCGTCTGCATCCTTTTTCGTCGTGGACTAATGGAGCTCTGAAAATTGGTCCAGGGGGGGTGTTCCTCGTGGTCACACAGACGTATGCACGACACTCTCGAAATGCTTCTATACCGTAAGGTTGGGAGTCAGCTAGAGCACAGGGGTGCGGGCGTTTTTCAAAGCGTAGTTTCTCCCCAACCAGGAGTTTACCACTGTCGAAAAGGGCGATTTTTGGAAATATCCATCGAAAGCTTTCCTGAGAAGTATCTGTCGGCGCTCGCACCCTCCTGGTTGCGGAAAAATTACGCTTTGAAGATCGATGGCACCCTTGTGCACAACGCTCTCGAAAGATAGTCACGCTCCTGTGCATACAGCAGTACATGCAGCATTGAAGACTGGAAGGTGCATCAAAGGCGAAAGAAGGTATTGTGCCAGATCTCTTTCTTTTGACGCCAAAGCATCATGCCCAACCCCTACCCCCGCTCCCTCAAGAATCGGACGTGTGTTACACGATGTATGGTCCGTTTCAAATCCTGTCCAGAACGACGCCTACCCAGAAGAACACGTATGCATAGCTTTTGGTTCATTCCGGGGGGTAGAGCAGGCCCGCGAAACATGCACTGACGATCGCCTTCTCTTGTCACCGCTTCTGCCGCCGCCGCCGTCGCTGCTACTGCTGCTACCGCCGCCGCTACTGCTGCTGCTACTGCCGCTTCTTCTGCCGCCGCCGCTGCTGCTGCTGCTGCCGCCGCCGGTACTGCTGCTACTGCTGCTGCTGCTGCTGCTACTACTGCTGCTTTTTCTGCCGCCGCCGCTGCTGCTGCTGCTGCTGCTACTGCCGCTTCTTCTGCCGCCGCCGCTGCTGTGGCCCTGCTGCTGCAGAGCGCCATCACGTCCCTGTCGAAGCTGATCTTCTTCGTGTTCCAGCCGTGCCTGCTGTTCGTCAACGTGGCCTCCACCCTCGGCACCCCGGGCCAAAAGCTGTCCAAGCTGCTGGTGCTGCCCGTCTTCGCGGTCCTCCAGATCCTCTTCGGCTCTGCCGTCGGCAAAGTGAGTTTGGACGGAGTCGGAGGGGGTACTCGTGGTCTGCATTCCTTAGATGTTAGGCCATTGACCACGCGTCCTCTAGACGCGGGGGGGGGGGGGGGGGGGCGTCCTCATGTTTTGCATGCCTTCGCGGTTTGACCATTGACCACGAGTCCTCGAGAGGGGGGGGAGCATACTCATGTTTTGCATGCCGTATTATGGTCGTGGTATTATAGACCACGCTTCCTATCTGTTTTTTTTTTTTTGTGTGCGTGGGTATCGATTTCAGCGCGTGCCGTAGTCGTCAAACCATTGACCACGCGTCCTCGAGAGGGCGGAGCAGAGGGGGGGGGAGGTTTCGTATTGCAAGCGCATGCCGTGGTCGTTAGACCATCCACCTCGCATCCCTACACCCACTACGCCGTGTTTTTGTTTTTTTTTTGTCGTTGGTGTCGTCGCCCCCGCAGGCCATGGAGAAAATCCTGGGCCTGAAGGAGGGGTCGCCCGAGGCGAGAGAGCTCCGCACGTGCACATCGTTTGCTAACTCGGGGCCCCTGCCCCTCCTCTTCGTGGACTCCATCTTCGGCGCACACCCTGGTATGAGGATAGAGGGGACGGAGGAGGGGGAGAAGAGGGGGTGGGAAGGAGCGGGGGGTGTACTCGTAGTCGTGCATGCCGTAGTCGTTAGACCGTCGACCTCGCTTCCCTACAAAGCCGGGACGGAGCACGCCGGGTTCTCACATCGGACCAGGCTCTCACATCACCAAGCGCGAAGCGCCGTGAGGTATTCGGCGAGTCGCATGAAGGGTGCGCTGTATCCTGCTAAGGGTGTTCGGCATCTTGTGCTTACTTCCTTGCGTACGGATGACAGCTGCGTATGACTTAATTTATTTTCTGGTGCTTTCACTTCGTGAGACAGTTGTAAGCACTGTGTAACTGCCTGGAGGGTGCTTGACTATTTTAACACAACGTGGTGCGATCATCCCCCTTGCGCGGAGTGAGGGTTCTCCACCCCGCACAACATGATCTACTCCACCACCATAATGATTACCGCCAAAAAAATACAGAGGTAAAAAAAAGAACCGGTAATCTGGTTGCCGAGTTCACAAAGTGAATTGGCTTGTTTTACAACGTCTTTGCCAAGCGACGAAAACCCAACCGCGATGGCAAACACCGGGGCGGGCGAGGAGGGAGAGAGAGCTTTAGTCAATTTAGTCAACTGGTACTGCTTTAGCACCAAGCCATGCCAGCACTACGCAACCTGCAGTTCTCTCTCCCCCCCCCCCCCCCCCCCCCCCCCCCCCNCCCCCCCCCCCCCTCCCCCCCTCCCCCCCGACACACACTTCCCTTTGTTGTGTTGTTTGGGCTGAATGACGTGATGAGACCAGCGCCAGCCCTCTGCTGTCGCGAGCAGCGCACAGCTGCCATACGCACCCTTCCCTTCACAATTGCGTCATCCTGCTCTGTACTCGTTCTACTCTTGTCTTGTGGTTTCTCTTAGTGTGGGTTCTCTTAGTTTTGTCCCGCTTGTGTCTTGTTGTGTCCCCGTGCCCCTGCACCAGACGCCTCCATCGTGTCGAGCGCCGTGGCTTACATCTCCTTCTACCTGCTTGGGTGGAGCCCCATGTTCTGGACGGCGGGGTAAGCTGCTGCTGTTGCTACTGCTGCTGCTTTGCTGCTGTCGTCGTCGTTGTTTTTTTGCTTTATGTGGTAACGCATGTTTTTTTGTCGAAAATGATTTCATCCACCCCGGAACTCTCTGGCTGCTGTATCTACCTGCAGCACTTTATCACACGTGTCAAGCAACAAAAAAATGATGCTGTTTTTTTCGGTTACACACGTACCATACAATACAGTGTCTCGTCTGTCCGTTTACCATGATGCCTTGCCGGCACCGCCCGGCTGTCCCCTCCCTCTCCTCGTCAACTTTGGTCCCTAACTCCCACTTCTGATCCAAGTCACTGCTGTGGTGGCTTCCAGGTAGCGAGACTGGTAGAGGCAAGAGGGAATGCGGTCGCTGTAAAGACCATGTGGTTAGACCGGGGGGTGGTTGTCGCTAAACCGGGCCCACCTATGTACGAGATATGCAGCAGCAGCAGCAGCAGAGGCAGCGATTACGATTCTCAGCGGCGCCTTCCCTTTTCCCAGTTGTTTGTTACTATGTTTGAGTCGGAACCCCCTTTGCTTCCTTCTGCCCGTACGTCTTGTCCAACCATACACAAAAAAGGAGTGTATTAAAACATCTAGCGAGGATACGCATGGAAGCATCTCCCGCTTGTTCGCTGCTTCTGTTTTGTTTATGGCACCCGAGAGCGATAGCCGTTGACGCAAAATCGCAGCCAGAT